AGAGAGAGAGAGAGAGAGAGAGAGAGAGAGAGAGAGAGAGAGAGAGAGAGAGAGAGAGAGCGGAAATATGACCGAGAGCTCTGTACGCCCGGCTGTTGTGACTAATGCTGCATGCCTGTTAGTGGCGCATTGTGTAAAGATCGACACTCATTGCATTAGATGGGAAATAAAACGCGACCATTCGTCACGAAATACTCGAGGAAGCTATTATCGATAATCGTGTGCGTGCTAACTAGCAATGTCGCCCGAGGTTGCGCGCGAAACGCGTCACTAAACACGCTGACGCGCTGGTAGCGTCCGCGGCATGCATCAGCGGCACACCTGGCAGGTTGTCGGCTGTCAGCGCCGCCGGAAGGATGCCCGAAAATTCAGGTCTCGACCGGTTACGCCTATTCTTCTTCACGATGCGCACGATTCCGACGCCGTTCCTGTCGCCATCTACCGGCGGTTCTGTGCCACGCTTGCTCGCGGGTAGTTCGTCGGTTGCCGGGTAACCGATCCCTGGCGCTGGAGCCTGCTGCCAGCTGCTGCCGAAGTCACCGCGTGGCTGCTTTGACCTGCCATACGAAGACTGGGGATGTGGCCGCGCGGAGTTGCCGCTAGATGTCGCCCCGCGCGACGCCGAGTCGGAGTTGCGCTGCCAGCGCATCTCGAGGTTCTCGTATGGGTCTCTACTCTTGTAGTCGTCGACGAAATAGCGGTTACTAGTGCGGCTGCTGAAAAAGATGGTAAATTCATGCGTTGCTAGTCACCGAGCCTGGACAAATCGCGTGTTACACCTCACGGTATATGTTAATAATTATGGTTCTGTTCGTTTTCAAGAAAATAACCCCTTATGCAGACATACCCTATTAGCAGCACGATTAGCAAAAATTAAGCGCCATTAAATATGCGTAGAAAATAACGAGTTTTTTTTCGCATAGAGTATCGTAAATATACGCCGTATCTTGGTTGCTTCTGTTCGCCTTGTCAGTAATTTGTCCTAACTCCTCCCAAAACATATAGTGTGTGGTGGTTAAATGTGTATATGACAATTCTAGACTTAATGGGGTAACTCTTTGTCTTAGATAGTGATAATTAAACTATAGCGAGCGACTAGAATTTCTGCTACTTATCGTCACTAGACGTGATGCGGCCACGTTGCCGAGGCGCGCCGAGGATTGACACTTTGTGTCTTTCACCCGGTTCTTCCAATCACAGCCTACGCCGCACCAGTCTTTTATATCTTTAAAGATGGGGATCCATTGGACCACCAAATCGCCGAGCTCAGGAACTAGGGGATTTTGCTATGTTAGAACGGTTTCCTACGATAGAGTTTGCCACAAATACGAAAATAACACGCTGTTTAGCTCACTGCGCTACGCCTGTTGCATTTTCGCATCTCCGTAATCAGAATAAGCCCCGCCTTCTTCGTTGTTGGACATGAATGGGGCGTCACCGACGTGACCAGTTACTGTACCGACTGTCTTTCGCCAGCCTGTTTACTTTTCGTAAATAATGAAATTCCCGGCCGATGCATTTCGCATCGAAGTGGAAAAATTTTCGGCATTTTCACTTGCTGTCGGAAGTGAACGTGAGTGCGTCATTCATTGAACATTGAAGTTTTTCTTAAAATTAAATAATTCCGAAAATCCCTAACCGCGCTACTCGATTGTTTTAGTCAATGAACGTAGCTGTGTGTGTGACGTCTTGCCCGCGCGCTTTATGCTTAGCTTAGCGGGCCTCGAAATGGATATATCGGAGGCAGGCACCTCGCAACACGCGTGTTTGTTTACATATAGCTTTCTGACGTACGGTGTTCGGTAGTTCTGCGATGGTAACCTCGTAATTTCTCAGCATTTCTCAAGGTGCATGGAACATTTTACCAATTTAGTGGTGTCAGTTAGTCACGGATATGTCACAGTAATTACTAACGGTATATGTCACAGTAAGTACTAACCGAATATGTTTCACATACGTTCACCTATTTTGCACACAGGCGGTCGATCATTGTGAAAAATTGTGTGAATATTTATTTTTTAGAGACGTTCCAAGTGCCTGTGCTTTCAACAGTCTTGTACGTCACTGCACGTGCGTCAAGAGCCACAAACTCAACACAATTTCATCTCTGTTATTGTTTACGCCTGAATGCGTGATTGATCAGGGAGGAGGTGCATGTAAGAAGGAGACATTTTTTTTGGGCTTCCGAAAAACACAATTCCACTTGACAATTTCATGGGCTAGTTCAATTGGAAGCTCTGCATAATGGACCCCAACAAGCCTTTTGACTGACTAGTCAAGAAATTCAAAGGTCTGTATATTGCTCTTATTTAGCCGCCGATAGTTCTTATTTAAAACAAAGTTTTCATTGTTATCTTCTAAAACTACAGACCATCCGCTGACCGCTGTGGAGACGTGCGCCGGTCCTCGAATTTGGCGCACGTCTTCACTGCGGACAGCGCTTCGTACTTGAACGTGGTCGCGTGCGCATATCCCGCGGAACTGCGCGTCTCATCCGCGCGCAGCGCTCATGATCAACAGCAAAGCTGTGCCACGCAATCTTGTATCTCTGGTTACTATATACTTGCTCAGCTACTTGTATAGGAACCGGTGCGTATTGGCAATACAGAGAGCGAGAGATTAAGTGGATGACAATATCCGGGTGGTTATCTGGAACGACGCCTGAGAGCAGCTATAGCAAGTGCATGAGCACCGACCGTGAACAATGGCGGCTACGTGTACGCGTGTCATTAGGCAAACCTCGGTCGAATTCGCTACTCTTCTTCACCCGTGCGACTGTTTGCGCGCGTCTATATTCTTAAGCGTTTGTGATCCGCCAAAATTTGCTGACATTATTGAAAACATAATTAGATAGTAGCATCAATTATACCCATAAAATAATTCGAACTTCCTGCCTACTCTTTTGTAGTGCGACGGTTTGTCAGAAATCGTGTAAAGCAGACACAAAACTTGACGTTATAGTTGTTACTTTCTGCCGTTATTTTTTCTCATAATAAATTATAGAATTAATAATTAGATCAGACGTAACCAATCCGCGCGGTTCCGGCTATGCGGAAGTGACCGGTTTCTGACAACCGTATGAGTGCAAGTATCCGCGCGCGCGGATGAGTGTTTATCTGCGCATGCGCGCGTGTGCGCGTGATTGAGTGCGTGCATTCGCGCGCACGCGCGTGCGTATACGTGCGGAGTAAATAGCTAGCTATAGGAATCACCGCGGTTTTTACTCGAGAAATGTTTGGTAGGAGAGCATAATAATGAGATACGTAGAAACGGGAAAATGCGTCCCAATCGCTTACATGAATGGACCCTACCCCCATTAAAGGATAAATGAACAAATAACGATGCACAGGCTCAGCTCATCCGCGCATCATCAGCGTGACGTCACCTACCCGCTGGTGCTGCTCCTGTCGCTCTTCATTGTGCAGGCGATAGTGTATTCGCGGCGCGTCTGCGACGACGGTCCGTAACCTCTCGCCGGCTGCACGACCATCGTATTCTGATACACGGCTCTGTTCAGGTTGCCCAGTGGCACCGATTGAGATCTCTGTATGTGTACGGCGTGCAAAACATAAACGGTATTTTGTGCGTATTTTATGACGTTGTATTCATCGAGCGCAATAATATACGCCTACTTGCATATAAATGCGCATAGTCCTTAGGTAAATGTTTCTTAAGCAGTTATTTTATGCATAATACCATTTAAGAACATTTGAAAACATAACAATCAATAATATAAAATAACATTCCAATATAAGAACATTTGAATCATAAAACATGAATGAATTATTGATATGACATCAATATAAATAGCACATAACATTTGAGTTCGTGCCTAATCACCTTATATATATATATATATACGGTGGCGGATCCAGGGGCACAAGGGGCGGTCGCCCCTCCCCCTAGAATTTTCAGGGAAAGGGTATTTTAGCCTAACACCCTTCCCCTCGGGCGGGATATATATATATATATATATATATATATATGAGTGTGAGTGTGTGTGCGTGTGCGTTGCGTGTGCGTGTGCTGTGCGTGAGCGGTGTGCGTGTGCGTGCGTGCGTGCGTTGCGTCGCGTGCGTGCGCCGCGCGTGTGTGTGTGCCGTACGTGTCTGCGTGCGTGTGAGCATGTATACATACCGTAGAGCGCGTTCCACACTGGGTGACCCGGAACTGGAAACTAACGGCTGACATGGATTCACTCGTGGCGGAACATCCCTGTACTTCTATAAGCGGTAACACCAAAGGTAAATGACAGCGCAAGAAACGGGCACGATTGATGAATAACGGGAGGTAAGTGTTTACACTAACAATTACTAAGAAATGTTCATATTCTCAGATACAATATTGATGAGATCGTTGCATTTGTCATTTCTATGCCCGCTTAAGCTATAACTGCATCATGCCGCTGATAAGTACCACCTCTATGTCTCGGGAAAATGATGCCATTCAACACAACTTTCTCAGAATCCTCGACTCAATATGTATTCTTGCACAGATGTCGTGATTTGGTAATATCATCGTAATTATGATTATATACGATCCACGGTTGGAAATTAGAATCGCAAGCTCCGACAGATCATTACCCTGCTTACAGCAGACAATACATAACGTCACCAGACTTCAAGAACAATCCGTTCATAAATGAGTTCCGATTTCATCGGACACCTGACCGTATGGGGTTAACTAGACGAAAATACAATATGTCGGGCGCTGTTCTATGAGTTAAAAATGTCTCTTCTGCAAACCTCTGTAACCATCCATGTACACGGCTCCCTGGAAGCTCTCCACAAACTGTAGAGATACTAGCATCAAGCGATTACCTTCATCACAAAGCACCTTTACATCTAAAAATGCAGAATATATATATATATATATATATAGATAGATACTATATATATTTAGCTGACACCACCGCAGACATTTGACGTGCTCTGTGAGCAACCATCTTGTGTACTGCATACAAACAGGGGTCGAAACTGTATCGTTATTCCACGTACAAAGAGTCACTCGTGTGTATAATAGTCTCATATCTGAGGTATGGGCACATTCTACTCTCGTACGTTTTGCACATGGCAAGCGATAGTTACAGAGTTCTCTATAAAAACAATTCAGACGTGTCCGTGATAATCATGTGAGCAGAAAATAAACTAGCCAACGCCATTGTGTTTCCGTAGCACCACGTGATTTTCAAGAGTCAATTGAATTCAATACTTATAGTATTAAGAGCTAATAAATACTATTTATTAGCTCTTGATAGTATCGGATAGATGTAGCAACTGATTGATCATGTTCCGACAATACACCGTCAATGCCACGTTTAAGTTCGCAAGTACAAGAAATATAATCAATTCGCTATGGTGTTCTATCACGGGTGTTTTCCTTGGTAGACGCCTACCAAGCGTCCAAGCTGGATTTTGGTGGAATCTTCTAAAGCTCTTTGATTCTTGCGTTTATTTCCTCTAATCGTCATGAAAATTAACGTCGAGCGGATTCGAACCAATGAAAATGACACGTTTTGCTCACTGACGACAATTATGGAACACTCAATGTATCACCTGCGATTTTCGGGATGTATCTGGAGGTTTCCCGGCCCTCGTGATCGTCTTCCCAGTCGTCGTCGCCTCTCTGTTCATTCTTTCGCTTCTTCCCGGGAGCCTTCTCTAGCTGCTTCAGCAGCGTCATGTAGTCGACGCCTGTCTGCGGGATTCCTCCTCCGGGAAGCAAGGTCCGAGAATCGGCCATCGTCGAGCCGGAATTCTGCAACAGCAGACTGCGCAGTAGCGCCAGCTGCTGTGGGTTCATCCCGTACAGACCGGGAATGTTCGGGAAGCTCGGGTAGGTGGGAGCACTGAGGCGGCTTGCCATCAGCGCCTGCTGTGGTGTCACGGGTGGGAAGCCGAGGTATGGGTTGGCGGCTCCGAAACCGTACTGCGCTCTCGCTGCCTGCTGCAGCGCGTACTGCCGGCTTAACAACGCTTGTTGCGGGTACACAGACTGCGGCTGATACATATGCTGTAGGCCGAGAGACTGCTGTGGCATTGGAAGGCTGCCGAACTGCGCTCGTTGCGGTGGGTACATGCCCTGGTACGTGGGAGATGTGTCGCGTGGACTCTTCATGTACGTCTGTATGAGATTCTTCGGTTTGATGAAGGCATCTCGCAGCTGCTTCGCCGTTACCGACTGCTGCGTCGGTTGCCTTCTTGCCTTCTTCCGGCCTGCTCTGAACGGAGAAGCGGGGGCGGCGCCACCGTAGAGCTGATTGATGCTGCCGCTGGGGCCATAGTTGGCACCGTATAACGGATTCCAGTTCGTAGACGTGAACAGCCCTGTATAGGGATTGTAGTAGGGCATCGCAACGCTTTGTGTGCGGCCTAGGGCGCCACCTAGGGGATTGTTCTTGCCTAGCAAGGTGGCACCCTGCGGGTAAGCGCCGCCCTGGTCGTAGCCATGCGTTTGCATAGGATAGTAGTACTTCTTCTTAGGGCTGGGTGTGTGGAACACGTAGTGGTCGGTAAACGTGCTCTCGTATAGATCCTCGTACGGTATCGTGTGACGCTTGAAGTAGACGTACGGCGCATGCGTAGTTGTCGTGTGCTTGTGGATGTAGCCGTACCAGTAGTCCTGGTAGCCACTGTACTGGGCGTGCGCCGTGCACACCTGAATCACGGCATAGTGATTCAATCGCACATGAGCTGATATACTGGCGACATTGTCAAAGTCACGTGTGCATACGAAATATGAACGAATAGAAAATTACGCTAGTACTCGTATGTCACATAATTATTATCGATAATCTTAAATCGACTCATAGGTAGGCTGCCAACCTGTTTGAGTTACTTATTTACCGACTGCTGATTAAAGAGTGTTATTATCAGCGCCTCGTTGTTATGGCATCTCGCAGAACTCTTGTCAATGGCAGTTTGAATAGTCGTAATATATGTTATTACTTCATTATTACTCGGTTATTTATACTTACTATATAAAGTATGATTATAATCCGGCCGATATCCATGATTCTGAATGCCTACGGAGTGGTAGATACCTGCGATTATTATAACTAATATATTATTTCAATTTCTGGTGAAACTCCCTAGATATTTATTATGGTTTTAGAGCTTGTTTCCCGAACATCTTATGTCACATCTCATGGCCCTCATATCAATCTCCCCTTCTCTTCATTTTACCATGTATTTCTAACATCTTCGCATTCTATTCCTTCACACACGCGAGCGCGCGCACACACCACACACACACAACACACACAACACACACAACACACACACACACACACACACACACGCGCACACACACACACACACACACACACACACATACACACATACAAATACATACACACATACACACGTACACAAACGCACGCACACATACACACACATACACACAACACACACACACACACACACACACACACACACAGCACACACACACACACACACACACACACACACGCGCGCGCGCGCCGCGCACGCGCGCACACACACGCACGCACGCACAGAACAGACAGACACAAACACACATGCACACACACACACACACACACACACACACACACACACACGACACACATACAACACAGCATACACACACACACCACACACACGCACCACACACAATCGCACAAATACCGCACACAACACACACACACACCACACACACACACACACACACACCACACACACACCGCTCACACAAATACACGCACATACACACACAGACACACATACCCCCTACCCCACACACACACATACCCCTACACACACACCGTTCACGAGTATGATGCACGAGCATGCGCACGCGATACCACCATTCAGCGTTGCTGATCAAGCGAAAATCGCTTCAAACATCCGCTGGATTGTATCCGAATGAGAAAAATGACGCGCAGCTAATTGCGTACGTTGACATTGCACGGAGGGCGGTATTATTGGAGGGTCTTTGTAGGACGACTATACGTGGCAATGCACTGGGTAGATAAAGTGATTGAACTGTAGCAAATAACTGGATTAATTTTCCAGCTCTCAGTGAACAATGATACGATTTTTGTGCGCTACTTGATCTTTTCACTCTCTCTACCCCGCCCTCGCCCACTCTCGCACTCGCTCCTGATATCACAGATATACTATATATGTATATATCCACGTGTCTACGGCGCTCTTTCTCTCATTTTTATTTACATCGGTTGAATTACCGATATGTCATGCCGATTATTTTCAATGACTATACTTTTCGCCTAAATTGATTTCCAAATGCTTGTTGCAAAATGAACATAACATAAATTGCTTGATAACGTACAGTAAGGCAATTAACATAGTGTTTACCTGCTAGTGTTCTATGCATGCAAACTGATACCGTCCATAAAGTATAGAGTACACACATCGTGACAAATACACACATGCTAACCTTTATTGGTGTATAGCGTTGGCATCACCGGTGACTTTTACACTGCATTGCACGTAATTCACAGCAGGAAACAGCAGAAGCCGCGATGGTTAGAAACACCTGTGGTCGCAGCACGGGCAATATCGAGTAAAGCCAGAATCGCAGCACCCGTTCCACCGCCGTCCTATCCGCCGAAGTGCTCTCAACTCTTAACTTGACCTAATCCTCTGCGTTTAATACGACTCCAATACTGAGGCACCGTCAGTGAGACGCCGTCACCGAGACTCCGTCAAAGAGACCCGGTATCGCGGAGTCAGGTGCTGAGATTCCGCTACTGAGAGAATGTCGTGAGTGAGACTCTCCGTCACTGATATCCCGTCTCTGAGATTTTGCTACCAAGTCTTGCGACACTGTCGCTGAGAATTCGTGAATGTTCGCTCAGTTGCTGGAACAGCGTGACGCCGTCTCCGCCACCGCCGCGTTACACGCTGATGAAACCTACATCAGCCGCAGCAGATTCCTGCGGTATCGTGTGCAAGTGCCGTGTCGTGCGTAGCACTGCACCGACTGACGCAGTGTCGGCAGCCGTGATCATGGCTATATAGCGCGGCACGGTGGCCGGGCGACGGCCGCTTATATGCAGTTATAAGATTATTCATGCTTGCGATTTTATGGTCTGGATGGAGCTATATGTATACAGCCGGGTTTCGCTATCAGATTTTTCCGATAGTGGCAGGTGAATGAAATGAGCATAGAGCAGAACAAGGCGGATGGCGATAGGAATTAGGATTGCTGATGCATGCAGTGTCGACTTCCCTATTCGCACAGGACATGCCTGCAGGGTACGTCGCGCTAACTATGCTATTGTGAATTGATTGAGAAATTTATTTAGGATCAAACAGGGAAACAGACAGATGCCAGATGGAGTACACGGTGTTAATATTAATTGCATAGAAGCGTACTTAATACAAACTGAAACAAACTACATAAGGTTACATGCAACTGCACTTGCCGAATAGTATTATAGACCGATATTATAGTCATCGACACAAACATGTAGACCTATTTATACAATATTGTAATTAGATGTCAATGAGACTACAACCCCAAGCATCACCTAAACTGGAGATTCTCCAGCCTGGACCCCTTGGCAAACTGGAGACCACACACTGAGCGCGCGGATCGCGTATTGCGAGCGCCGAAGGCGCTCGCCCATTACGGGTGTGGTCCAGGGGCCCGCCTTAGGGGGCGGGGGACCAGGGGGCAGCGCCCACGGAAGCTCTTGGATTTTAAGGTTTTCTTTTAGTATTGAAACAAGCTATTTTTAACACATTTGTTTCATTTGATTTTAAAAGAAACAAAGTGAAATAGCATCTGTAGATATTGCTGACCTTAATTCTGTCACTTTATTCATTTTGTTCAAACTGAAGTGTGTTCTAGATTGTACTTCCTCGATCAAACTATTAATTTTTTAAATAGTTATTACACATTTTTTTGGGGGCGGGAGAAAACAAAACTTAAGCGGGAGAAAATGCAGCTTAAGCGGGAAAACGGGAGATTTTGGGAAAATGGCCCCAAAACGGGAGATCTCCCGCCAAAAACGGGAGAGTTGGAGTCTGTACACTCATGTTATTAGAATGCGAAAATTTGAGAAATTAAAGACGCACGTCTCTTTATCGGTACTTATAACATGTGTTTAAAAAGGAATAACGTTAGATAATTATAAATAAATTGTTTTCGCGTTCTTTGAAGCGTTTTTTCGTTCCTTTTGAAATCACGCAACCCAAATTCGATCAATAATATTTTATATAATTTTAGACACACCTTGTATTATCCTACCGGGTTCGGCTCGTGTAATGATGTACGCCTGTACTATAATGCATCATTATGCGTTGTCAGGATAACCATATAATCGGTGACACGGTGGGGTTGGGTGTGATATGTGCACGCTTCCTAGACCCTGCATGGGTAAATGTTATATTGACTAGCCGTGTTGTCACGCGTACCCACCATCATGATTTTCCACGGATATTACATGTACGTATTTTTTCAAATTGGTCACTGATATGGGCCAAATCCTCACAAGGTTATGCTACGTGAATGAGGACACATATGCCATGTGTACGTGTAAATGGATCAACCGTGTCCTCAAAACATCACGGTTATTATACGTTTATTATTAGAGGACGTCGAAAATACACCCGGTATTTCTCCATAATATTAGCAACCACCTGTAACATTAGGGTAATAAAACATGGTAATGACCGTCATCGTTTGCAGGTACCAATATATATCATATATATATATATATATATATATATATATATATATATATATATATATATATATATATATATCATATATATATATATGTTACAAGTTGCTATTACGAAGCACGCGCTCATATCGTTGTAATATGGATAAGCTTACGACCTATTAACTAGAATAAACCAAGGAACTCCGAGTAGTATTGATAGATCTAATTGTGAAGTGAAGAATTACTGTTTGTTACACGCTAATAGCGCATCAATAAAATAACAACACGGACCATCGGCACGCAGTACACATAACACTCGAAATCAGTCGTGAACATATTGCACGTGACCATGGGATCGCTACGGTTATATAAACACACACAATATCGTCCCCTAAACGCTTCCTAGGCGTGCCGGGCTGCAAGCTTCTCGCGCTTAGCAGGCGGCGCCCGCGTTCAGGGTTGCCGTGGAGATGCGACAGGAAATGAATGGCCGGAAAAGCGCCACTGTAGCACCTTTCAGCGTGTGCGCCATTACGCGACGGGTGTCATAGTCGCGATTGTGTCTGGCCATAGACGAGACCACCCCGCGTGTCCTCTCGCCTGTGACTAGCTTCGAAGTTTTCCTGATCTGGTCATCGAACTTTCACGCAGCTCGTGCGCATGCTCCGAGCGCGCGCGTAGCGGAATAATTCGATAGCTCGCGTTCATCCCGCACTCACCGACCGTGACGTGGTGTACCGTGAATATACGGTATAGCACAGGGAGTTTTCTACGAATAATGCCTAAAACGTGCGACTTTTTGAAAGCTGATTTTTCGTAGATGCGAATTAGACTGCGGATCGCCCAAATATATTCTACCAGTTCACATGTATTATATTGTATTAAAATTGATTAATTATCTAATGTCAACTCCACTCTTCAACACTCTAGATAAAAAAGTCTAGACGCTTTTATCGTCCGTTGACTAGCCTATCATGTTCATTGCGGTGGTTGCTATTGGCAAGTATAGGAGTGTTTCATGTTGATAAACATTGACGTCATATGCGCGCATGCGCAGTTTAACGGTTGGCAGCAAGCAGATGCGTGATATTGTTCGATACAAGCACACGCACGCACGTGTACGTACACACGCACGCACGCACACACTCATGCACGCACGTGTACGTGCACACGCACGCATGCACTCATGCACGCACGTGTGCGTGCACACGCACGCACGTCTACGTGCACATGCATGCACGCACGCACGCACGTGTACCTGCACAAACACGCACGTACGCACGCACGCACACATGCACAAACGTGTACCTACACACGCACGAACGTGTACCTGCACACGCGCGCACACACGCACGCACGCACACGTGCACACACACGGACGCACGCACGCTCATGCACGCACGTGTAGGTACACACGCACGCACGCACGTGTACGTGCACACGCACGCACTCACGCATGCACGCACGTGTACGTGCACACGCACACGCACGTGTACCTGCACACGCACGCACGCACGCACGTGTACGTGTACGTGCACATACACGCACGCATGCACGCACGTGAACACGCCCGCACGTGTACGTGCACGCACGCACGCACGTGTACGTGCACACGCACGCACTCACGTATGCACGCACGTGTACGTGCACACGCACGCACTCACGCATGCACGCACGTGTACGTGCACACGCACGCACGCACGCATGCACGCATGTGTACGTGCATACACTACGCGCACAGCATGCACGCATGTGTACGTGCATATGCAGGTACGCACGCGCGCACGTGTACATCCAAACGCACGCACGCACGCGCGCATGCACACACGTGTACCTGCACACGCACGCACGCTCGCATGCACGCAGGTGTACGTGCACACGCACGCACGCACGTATATGTGCATACGCACGCACTCACGTGTACCTGCACACACACACACGCACGCACGTGTACATTCACACGCACGCACGCACGTACGCGCGCACGTGTACGTGCACACGCACGCACGCGCGCACACGCACGCACGCACGCATGTACGCACGTGTAAGTGCACACGCACGCACGCACGCACGAACGCACGTGTACGTACATAGGCACTCACGCACGTGTACTTGCACACACACGCACACATGCACGCACGTATACGTGCACACGCACGCACGCATGCACGCACGTTTACGTACACACGCACGCACGCATGCATGCACGCAGGTGTACGTGCACACGCACGCACGCACGCACGCACGTCTACGTGCACATGCATGCACGCACGCACGTGTACCTGTACACACACGCACGTACGCACCAACGCATTCATGCACACACGTGTACCTGCACACGCACGCACGCACACACACACGCATGCACGCACGTGTACGTGCACACGCACACACGCACGTGTACGTGCACACGAACGTACGAACGTGTACGTGCACACGCACGCACGTGTAAGTTCGCACGCACGCACGCATGCACGCACGTGTACGTGCACACGCACGCACGCAGCACGCACGTGTACGTGCACTACATAAACAGCGCTTTCTATCAGAACATGTGGTCATTAATCTGTAAATGTCAAGCAGCACGCTTCGCTTCTGCCAACCATGACACATAACAAATACACGTGACCTGATCTATGACGTTACGTGAAACACTCCTATTGCAAATAACGCATAATACAGCAAGTTTTTTTTATTCGCCATCGCTTAGTAGGCCCTAATGGGGCATAAATCTGTTATAATAGAGAATCGCTTTTAAATTAGTCTCAACTGAAATTATACCTTTATATAGGCCCAATAACTGGCCGAGCTGTAGCTGACACTGTATGTCAGCGGGCCATTCATATACTAGGCCTATCAGTCCACGTATAATGCAACCTTAATTGTGTCTTACATAATGCTGTATTGCATTTAATGCAAAAAACATGTTAATTGAAATATATAAAGTATCCAGTGCAACAATGTTTGCAAAAAAGCCATTATTAGCTGTTAATTAATTATAGTTTATATGTAGTTTATGTTGTTTATATTAATATTTTATTATATTAATTGTTATATTTATATAATCCTATAGCGTTTATAGATAAACGTCAGTACGCTGTAAACACTAAACAGTTGTAAACGTATTACGACCTTGCCTCGAACTCGCGCTTTGTAACGCTTGCTGCGTTACCAGCCGCTTATTATAACCTAGAGCTAACACTAACAAATCTTATTACACGTTAGAAACGGATGAATAGAAACACCCAGCAACTTGAAATAGCATTCTACACACGATATTTATATAATAAAATGGCGAAATTTACATAAAATGTCAAAAAGCTATAGCGTACCAAGTTATTTTGACAATAGATACTATCAACACTTATTATTATGACAGATGAAAATAAATATTAAACTTTAGCTTCATATTAGAAACCATAGACATACTCTTAATTGTTTTATATAACTGCGACACATCATAGATTCATGGACAAAATGAGACAATATTCTCCATACCTATTTGTATACACTAAATTAATTAAGTGGAATTAAGCAATGTTTCCTGCAAGCTGGTTTAGCATATTTCTACATTTAAATGAATCTGGATACCCTGCTTAGTAATGGTGTTGTATGTCGCGTGCACATGAAGACCGTTTGTCGTTACGCATTTTTTCGCAATTATTTCAGGCAGTTCTGCACGTACCTCAGTGAAAATGCCATCACAAAGTGGCCTTAAGTTGACATTGCATACAGAGCTAGACGTGGACGAGATAGTGCATATCAAAAGACGTAACCATCTCAGGTTGAAGATGGGGAAGCCTACTAATCATAATATAACAGTTATACATGATTTGTCTCGATTACTCTACGGGTACATAAGACATCCAAGAAATGATGACACGGCTCCAGCTTTCAACAATATGTTCACTTATAACAACACGAGTCCAGTGGGGGCATAACCGGAAACATCACGAGTAGATACGACATCGCAAGTCTAAAATGTCATAACTTTTGAAGGAAAATGTTGTGAAAAAGTTATGATTTAAAACTTACAATAGTCATAACTACTTACGATATTTTTGAGAACGGGGCCCAGCTTTTAACATGATGTTATAATGAGCCCTATTTATGCTACATACCACTTCTTACCATTTAATATCCTATTGAATAACAGATCCTACATCCGTTTCATTTTAAACGTGATACAAAACCTCATTGATGCAATTCCCAACATAACTGTAAGGAAATAGCATGAACGAGGGGGCAGTTATGAATACCTATGATTACCTACTGCCACTTTGTAAAATATTTCATTATTTATTTACTTCCTTAAAAATCAGTCATATGTAGCATAATTTAATTAAACCTAATTTAACTGAAAGTAATGCCAAAAGTTACACAAGTATTCTCGTATAAGCTCCTAACAGAAACGTATAAGAGTTAGCAAAGGCATGAGAGCCAGTCTCTGACTAATGAATGACATATGGCATTGCACATCAGCCATCTAGGTTACTATAGTCTTTGTACAAAACAGAAACCCTTCCCTGCTCTAATCGGTTTTGATTGAACGACTCAACAAAACGAGTGCTGCACATAACAACCCTTTGCCCGTGGAAAATTCTTGTGATTGGGTAGATCACAAAGTGCCTCGTTTTAAGTCCGCCACAAACAAGAATAATCAGCTGAGCACAGAGCCATATGCTCAGATGATAGCTCCCACCCATGCGACAGGGGAGTAAGATAGCTCTGTGTCTCCCTCACGCGTCGTAGAATATCCGAGCAAGCGGGTAGCGCACGAAGAATGCAACACAGCTGCACGACACCTGCAGCAGCAGTAGATAGACCACCAGGGTGCGTTCGTGCGTTGGGCCGATGAATGACAACAGCAGGTTGATCAGCGTCAGGTTGTCGAACTGCATAAAGGCGCCATCCTCGCCGGCGCCCTCTGTAACATTGGCGATGCCCAACGCCGAAAACAGCTTCAGAGTGGCGCGTCCGAGGAAGCTGATGTCACGCCTCTTCACCGCGACGACGCTCACCGTCAGCTTGTCTTCGGAGTCCAGCAACCTGTGGCGTAGAGTAATGAAAGTGTCAATGACACTGTAGCTCACCACAAAAAAGGACACAAATGAGTGAGTGAGAAGAAGTCAGTTTTAATTGAGCAACCATCAACGTACATTATAGAAACGAAGAGTATATATGGGAGAACTCCCATTATATACTCTTGATAATTATGTGTAATTTTTTATGTGAAAATAATATATAATATTATATATAAATTATAAATAATTTATAAACCAAAATGAATCACAATTTGTGACGGTAGATGGCGCTATACCCGCTTTGATGTTTCTTAGCATAAATCATTATATCATAATAATAATAATAATATAATAATAATATAATAATAATAGTATAAATCATATGTTCATAGCAGGAATTTTGCATTAAAGATATTGTCAATGAAATCTTGTAAAACGAACCAGACGAGTGTGACAACACAGACTGTTTGTTATCTGCGTGTCTATCTAATATGCTATATAATTGCCAAACCCTACCTAATTTGCATAATTTTTATTACAATATCAAAACCCCAAGCCCTTATTCATTCACATACCAAAAATGAGCAAAATCTGTTGAACCTGAACTGACTAATGGCAATTCCTATTTTTGCCAAAAAATTGCCGTGGCTCGAAAGTACGTCGACTGGCGTGCTCCAAAATAGGACGTTTAATATGGGAGCATAGCAGTAACAACTTTACCCAATTTCAAACATGTGGGTCAAACGGTTCCTGAGTTATCGTTGACCGTAGCAAAATGTTGACGAACGGACGGACGGACGGACGAACGGACAGACGACGACCCATGGCAATAGCTCAGCTTGACGATGTCAAGGTGAGCTAAAAAGCGGGTAAAGTGATTTTCCTTAAATCTCATGTTTTTAAGGCATGTAAAGTTGTACCTGCTCAGGTTCTAGAACCTCAACTTAAGATTGCATGCATATTTATTATAAAGCCTATGTCGAGATCTTTTTGTTAAAATACTTTTTGAAAAAAACATTTTGGTGAATTACCTCCAGGTAATAATAAACTGATACAATAGTATTGTTTAGTGTAGTTTTCAAGAAAATTAGTTGGCTGGTGCTAGGACATTAAGTTGTAACGTACCTACACTAAATCTTGCCCCAGAATGTTAGTCTTTGTTTCAAATAGTCCATAAAGTAAAAAGATTACCCTCTCCACATACCCTACATATGATGCTGCATTTATCACCCTAATAAAGAGGGAAATATGAACCAAACTTCTTGAGCACCACTGATTTCCAGTTTCAACCACCAATACAATTTCAGAATGCTATCAAACATGAAGCCATTTAGATCTGTTGCACTACTGTTGACAAATAGATGGACCACAACACACCAACACTACATTCCACAAGGTGCATCACAACCAAAAATGAAAAAAAGTTGCACTCTGGCCATTTTTGTCAGGTTAGAGTTGGTTACCATGAAGCGGACGTGACTTAGCGTGGAAACGTCACCTGGGCATGCGATGTCGTGGGCAGGGCAGCAAGTGGAACAGCTGTGGCACCGAATAGACAAAGTTGACCGCCTGTGGGATGAACAGCAGAAGCATCGTCTTGCTGAAGTGGCCGAGGATGCCAACGACAGCAAAGGTCATGCCCGAGAAATAGCAGAACGTGTCTCCGACGAAGACCCGTGAAGGGTACCTGCAGTGTAACCAGGGTGCTTTATAGCAGTGCACCGAGTCAGGAATTTGTGATTTAATACAAAAGCATTCGATTTAAATCGAAGAGTGGGGCAATATAAATATTTATGACACCAAACCTTCTACTGTGAATTACAAATGTGAAAGGAAGTTCATCCTTTTGTATTACTAGGTGTGATAAATATTTTGCTATCATTTCTATAACATTTTGACATTTAGAGCCCATATATAAAGATTTCTTTTAAATTTCCCAATCATACCTTACCAATTGTGATAAAACAGTGCCAACGTGACAGCAGCATATGGAATCATAATGTAGAGTGAAAACAAATGGGCATCCCTACATTCACCTGTCAAAAGATCAAATAGTATACTTGCATTTGTCTTACACAAAACATTGAGGAATGAAAACCAATAAGTTTGTTTAGGAGTATGAATCTAATAATCTTTTACAAATCTCACACCTAAGCAGGTACACAGTAGTTTACCATTCTAACCAATTCATTGCATATTACTTGTTTAATGCATATTTCTATACAATAGGTGTATTTAACATTGCTAGCTGCTAATAGCTTATAAATACCACCATTGGAATGTATCAACAAATTTAAATTGTGATAGAACACTGTTCTTACAGCACCAAAATACTGAACCATGTTTCGGCTAACAAATAATAATGTAAGGCGATACAAGTTATTATCATAAAATTACACATGCAGACACTCCACACTTCACTGAAAATGACACAAGCATCACTTACCTGATAACTCACTCAAGTTGAAAATAATTATTGAGGCAGCAATAGTTAGTGACTGTCCCACCTCATAGCCATTTAGACCGGACAAGATGTTGATAGCATTAGTGCAGAACACTGCCAGCATCCCCATATATACGTAGTACAGAATTTCTGAAATAAATTTGTGAATGTTGCACTTAAAATAAAAACTGTTAATTACCACCTGGAATTTAGAATTGATGAAATTAAGGCTCATAAGGTCTATGTCCCCCAGGGTACTGCCGGAACGAACCCTGGTAACTATCTGATATGGTTAGGGTTAGGGAGTAGGCGTAGGCGTAGGTGACATATATGTACCTGAGGTAACTATCTGATATGGTTAGGGTTAGGGAGTAGGCGTAGGCAACTCCCTAGACTCGTTAGTAGAGTAGGCGAGGTACGGTCCGGCATATTAGATAGTACCAGGGTACGTTCCGGCAGTACCTTGGAGGACATAGACCCTCTCAGCGTAATTAAGGTGACACCAGGATGTAACAATAACTACTTTAAACAAATGCATCAACAAGGCACTGCGTATATGACTTTTTCCCGAAATCAAAATGACCTGTCAAAATCATGTGTAGTGAAAATATTTCATGTCCCCTTTTCACACGTGGGAATTATTTGACTCTCACACGCATCGTCGCATACTAGAGTTATAGCATGACATCTAAACAAAGAGCCATCATAATAGTATCACACATTCAGCATTACTTCTGGCACATTACTAATTATAATCTTGACAGGACTCACGTAGGTCAACATCATGTCCAAAGTACAGTCTGAATGGCTTTGGCACGATAATAACAGTCGAGTTAAAGTTTGTCAAGTAGACCATAAGCAATGGTAGGGTAGCGAGAGTTGGAAGCATCAATTTGTGCCGCCACCTTAAGTCCAATGCATCGTCTGCAAATCCCAGGAAGATCATGCAGCATATCGATAGTAATGCTGTAATGAACTCCACAAACTGCAGAAAAACATAAATAACAATGCTTACTCATGGAGACATGATGATTTATGGCTTATAAGCGATCTATTCAACAATGATTAGGCTTCTATTAAAACCAATGAATATATATTTAATACCATGGGGAACTAACTTACGGTTTTTAGACATGTATTTGTCCATTTATAATCATACATACATGTATATAGGTTCTCTTATAACCTAAATTCTCCTACAATTCATTCTTCACTACACTATTACTATTGCTGAAAGGGTCTATGTCCCCCAGGGTACTGCCGGAACGTACCCTGGTACTATCTAATATACCGGACCGTACCCTGGTACTATCTAATATGCCGGACCGTACCTTGCCTACTCCACTAACAAGTCTAGGGAGTCGCCTACGCCTACTCCCTAACCCTAACCATATCAGATAGTTACCAGGGTACGTTCCAGCAGTACCCTGGGGGACATAGACCCTATGAGCATTACTATTAGCATACTGTTAAAAATTGAATTGCATTTAACTCCAGAGATCAAACATCTATAATCATATAAAAACATTTTGTAACTGTTTTGTTGTTTACTAATAACTAGCTTCAATCAACTTACAACATTATGTGGAAATGGCCCAGCACCATCATATGTCAGATGCCGGTGAAAGGGAACAGGAATAAACAAAAACATCACACAAAGAAAGATTGCTCCGGCAATTACACCAGCTGACTCAGGTCTGAAACATGACAATTATTTATGGTTAACCTATGAGCCAATTTATTTTGGTACAAGATTTATTAATATAAAACAAACAAGATAATTGTGATTTGTATATTCTATAGATACACATTTAAGCTTTTATAAAATTTAGAAAAGAATTCTATCATACAGTGTGCACACATATTGGCAACCAATTTTCTTATATATGGCAAAGTGTAATTTTTACAAAAGCCTTAGCTTGGATCCATACATAATATATAAATGTTATTTGCTTGTTTGATGTATAGATTGAATTGTTATAAAAACAGGTAATATGATTTATGTATAGACTTTTTTAAATTTATAATTAAGTTGTATGAATTTATGTTTCATATATCGGAAGCACAGAAAATACGTAGTTAGAGACTTACATCTTTTCCTTCCCTCTTTTATTCATGTCTACACCAAAAAATCCAGCCATTAGAAACATGTCCCGGAATTTTGGTATGACTGACCATGTGACCAGAAATGCTGCAGCTGACATTGCAACATTCACGGCAAGAATACCTGTGGCATCTTCCCAGAAAACGGACATGACCCTGAAAAATCCTTACTGTGAAAGAAACACTGAATCAGGTAAGACTACAGTACTGACTAAAACTAGAACTGAAATACATGCTGGAAAATGAAATGCTTACTTGCCTAATCAGTTTCATTGAACGCCTGAAAAATAAGTTACTCTAATTTAATTGCACGTTTTTTTTATATTTTTTTTTTATCATCCTAGTTTTGATTCGCCAGGCCTGAATTAGCCTCTACCGAGGGTGTGGCCTGTCTGACTTGTCTTCCTCGAAGACGCCCTCTCCACACAGAGCGGTTATGAGGGTCAATTCTTTGATTATGACTAGTCATTTTTTGGTTGTGGCGATTTTTACAGCAGGATGCCCTTCCTTTGCCAACCTGTTACAGATCAGGGGTAAACTGTCCGCCAACAGCGCTATATAGCTATAGCAAATGGCACCGAATGTCGGGTGGTCACAGCCAGAGTTTGTTTTTGCACCCTCAGTGGTTCTTTCGTATTACTGGACCGCCATTTTACGTGTTCATCCGAGCCACGGGAGATTCACAATCTCCAATGTTGAGAGCCAGGTTTTTACACCTTGAGAAAATTCACTGCCCCGGCCAGGGATTGAACTCACAGCCTTCAGTGGACAGTATACGTGGCCTAACCACTAGGCCACGAAAGCATCTCAAAAAACCTGAATGTTACTGGTAGTAATATGGCGAAACACAGTGTTGGTAAACTCCCCGGGTGGGTCACTCAGGATATTACTTGGTACGCATGCTCGTCATAGAAAATATCAAAAAAGGGTTGGATTTTGACCCAGTAACGTCGACGACGTCTTTAGAAAAAGGGGTACTTTTTCAGGTTAACATTCAACGTTTAGGGTAGTTATTTCAACCAGTCTTAGACGTTTCGGGTCACCTTTTCACCTGGTTTTCGTCATTTGATTCATCCATTTATTTCCGTGTTTACATTCTCAAAAGGATTCTCCCCGGGTTTTCTAGTCTCAATGTTAGACTGAGGGGCATTAATGTCGAGTATTCGCAGTATACGTGCCCGGTATTAAGGAAGAGAAAAACTTTTTTATAAAAAGAACTTCTCTTTTTATATAACACATTTTAATTTTTTATTTCGCCTCAGGTCCCTGTGAGACTAGGGCCCATTATCACATGCGTTTAAACAGAGGAATTGCTCCGACCTGTGATTGGAAGATTAAAATAGACCTCGCCGCATACGCTAATCGCTATTAATATTATCAGGAGTAGATAATAGGGAGGAGTGTGACATCAATAAACAAGGGAAATTCGTCATTTACTAGCCTTATAATACCTACGATTTACTACGCGTAACTCATCCAACTTGAGCTCAAATCGGACACAGTACATTCGCCAATCATCGTGCGAAATCGTTTCCTCGTAGACAGCCTAAAACGTACGACACGATTCTCCATTCTATGGCCATCAATCCAACGCCATTGCGCGCCTATAATTCAAACAAAAGGCAGCTACCTAACGCGCTATTGCTAACCCAGCGAGGCATGTGGCTCGCTGGGAGATTGAGATCGACGCAACACTCGACGAGCTAATCATGCGGTTGGCGTGCGTGCGTGAAGGCATGCCAGCTATGTACAAAGGTGGCCTGTGTAGCTGTGTACCGGTCAAAGGTTATCTCGCCGAGTGTTATGCTAATCTCCCAGCGAGCCACATGCCTCGCTGGGTTAGCAATAGCGCGTTAGGTAGCTGCCTTTTGTTTGAATTATAGGCGCGCAATGGCGTTGGATTGATGGCCATAGAATGGAGAATCGTGTCGTACGTTTTAGGCTGTATCTCCGGATTGCCGGTGTCTACGATGAAACGATTTCGCACGATGATTGGCGAATGTACTGTGTCCGATTTGAGCTCAAGTTGGATGAGTTACGTGTAGTAAATCGTAGGTATTATAAGGCTAGTAAATGACGAATTTTTCCTTGTTTATTGATGTCACACTCCTCCCTATTATCTACTCCTGATATTATGCTATGACCGGTAGGAACGTGTACTACGTACTAACTATCATATAGAGTAAACGATTTGAGTTACATTTCTATAAATTCTATTAATAATAATAGTATTATATACACATGCCTTACCCTAAATCTCTGTGAATTTCGAGTCTATTAAAGCGTGATTAGTCTAATTAATTAGCAAATATGAACGCGCGGCTATGACCGGTGAAACGAAACGTCACGAATTCTATTTTTATCCTCCAATCACAGGTCGGAGCAATTCATATGTTTAGACGCATGTCATTATCTTACGACAATAAGCACCGCTGAATACGCCATTTAGGAGCCAATTTTGAGATGCGTATCCTGCTGAGTGACTCCACCGGGGGGGGAGGGGGTAAACTCATGCAGTTTTATTCAGCTGCCACGTTATCATGAACGTTGAAAAATTAATAATACCTGAACCGTTACACCCAACTCCTAAGCTGGAATGTAGTATCCGTCTACGAGTTGGAGTGAATGACAAAAAATCTATTTGACCACTCTTAGGCATAAAAGACTGGGCGCTACCATCTTTACATTTGCTACGCGCACGCAGTGCCATCTATTGAAACAGGGTACTCAAAAGAGTCGAAACGGAGCGATTGCTCGGTGGGCACCCACTGATCTCTATAATAATATCATAGAGATGATATGATATGATATTATTATAGAGATCAGTGTGGGCACCGCACTAGACTGGTACCCGGTCCCACCTCTCGGCTTAATTTAATTTGTTTTAAATTTATTTATTTCGATAATTAACAAAGCATACATTACATCTATAACAGCATAAATAAACAAAATGCAGCTAGAAAATTATCGAGGATGAAAACACAAAAAGCATGGCTAACACCCTTATTTCCATTGTGGTCCAACATGACATTGTACATACTATAAATTATAGCAAATATACCCACGATCCCCAAAATTTCTGAGTGATACAGTACAAAACATTGATATACAGCATGAAGAAAAAATATATACAAAAAAACTTCAGCATATAGGAGTGTTTCACGTGACGTCATAGATCAGGTCACGTGTATTTGTTATGTGTCATGGTTGGCAGAAGCGAAGCATGCTGCTTGACATTTACAGATGAATGACCACATGTTCTTATAGAAAGCGCTGTTTATGTAGTGCACGTACGCGTGTGTGCTGCGTGCGTGCGTGTGCACGTACACGTGCGTGCATGCGTGCGTGCGTGTGAACTTACACGTGCGTGCGTGCGTGCGTGTGCACGTACACGTGCGTGCGTGCGTGCGTGTGCACGTACACGTTCTTACGTTCGTGTGCACGTATACGTGCGTGCGTGCGTGTGCACGTACACGTGCGTGTATGCGTGTGTGTGTGCGTGTGTGTGTGCGTGCGTGCGTGTGCAGGTACACGTGTGAGCATGAGTGCGTTGGTGCGTACGTGCGTGTGTGTACAGGTACACGTTCGTGTGTGCGTGCGTGCGGGCGTGTGCACGTACACGTGCGTGTGTGCGTGCGTGCGTGCGTGCGTGTGTACGTACACGTGCGTGCGTGTGCTTGTATCAAACAATATCACGCATCTGCTTGCTGCCAACCGTTAAACTGCGCATGTGCGCATATGACGTCAATGTTTAT